AGGCAAACACCTGGCAGATGACTTAATATACACAAGTGCAGTGTATTACATGCAGTTAGCAAAACCATTAACCATAAATACAACATAGGATATGAGCTTGAAGATGAGAAAGTAACTTATGAGAAGGACAATGTGTCCAATTAAAGAGGTATAAAATCAAATCACATTATTAAGATGGTTACAAAAATAAAACAATGGGTATTAGAATTGTACAGTGCACTAGTGAGATTTCATTAAAATGCTGTTTCTGTTTTCTGACACTGTGGACAGGCACACTTAAACATCAAGAGTTTTAATATTGTCACCTTTTTAATTACTTAAGGATATAGATTTCCAATGTTATAAAACACATTTTTTGGAAAACAACTGATGAAAAACTAGATTAGCTCTTTAATGCATAGAATCTGACAAGATACAAAATCATAATCCTCTGAAACATCCTACACAGAGTGCTGTGATTTCATAAAACAGGATAAACATTAAGAGCTATTTCAGAAAGCACAGTGACTTATTTAACCTGGTATAGAACATCTTTGTAGATCTGTTTGTAGGAAAGTGGATATTCCCCTTTTATGAGGTGTTTGAACCTTTTGGAATTTCAAAGTCTGCCCCTTTTTTATAGCTTAGTAGAGCTGTAGCCACTAGAGCTAGTGCTACATTGGGGCATAGGCTACCTCACTAAGGTTGTAGGTCAGCTACCTGCTACAGTAATTTGGCTGGACACATAGCATACTAGTTATAAGAGAGTAATGACTTCTACAAGGACAGCCTATAGCTCATCTTACACATTAGAAGAGCAGTCCATTACAGAACATAATTGGGTTTAAGTAAAATGAAGTAAAACTAATAGAGAATTTTGATACAGATATGGAGAAAATTAAGAAAATTGGTCTCAGAAACAGTGTTGCAAATATTGTAATGGGATATTAAGGAAAAAAGTGAAGAAAGTAAAATATTTTCATGTAACAGGAACAAACAGAAACAAGTGAAATTAAAAAGTTGCAAGTGTGAGCCATAAATATGAAGATGCTCACTTAGAAATACACAAGCCAAAAGGAATGTAAAGAGAAATGTTTAGTTTAAACTATATTTTAAAAATAATAATTAATTTTAGGGAATGAAAAGGAAGTATGTTGAATAATTTGTTCAGGAATTGTCTAATGAAGAAACTAATAACATGTATCAGACTGAAGTTGAACCCTTCAGTGTTTTCCAGGGATATAAAATACTTAAGACCAATAAAAATCAGGTCCTGATGCTATTTTTCACTTTCAGAGGAACAAAAGAATGTGTGCACAAGCAAACTAATGTTCTTTTTATTTACTGTTCATATGGCACAAAGCACCAATGATTTTGCAGAAAACAGCTTTGCTTGGTGAAAGTGCCACACTGACTACTATTTTCTTCCTTTCGTAGTCAGTAGAATGAGGAAAGATATTTCCACCTCATTAACTTGTTGTAGACTTCATTACAAATAGTAATTTGAAGCCTTAAACCATATACAAGCACAGTACCAGTGACATGGGTAACACAGGATTCCTGTGGGGAGACATTTTTCACATCACATCAGTAATGGGTTAGTCCACAGTTAGAAAGGCAGCAGTGATTCATGGCTTGAATGACTTCATGCAGCTTCTGTTAGGAATGCCATGCTGTTCCTTTGAGAGAGTTGTGATCTGTGCTTTCTGTTTTGGCCATCAATGATGTCTGCCAAGCATGTGTCAAATGTGTCCTAGTGGTGATAAGTCCTGAGGAATTGTGGCCAAGGTAGTGCGAGAATATTCCTTCTGTATATATCAATGACGTGTCTGGGGAGTCTGGATTGTTCAATTTGGAATCACATCTGCCACCATGATGGTGAGCAAACTGCATAATGTGTTGCGTGCTAAGGATTATGCAATTATAAATGTTTTGACTACAAGTACATACAGTATTAGATGCATTTTGCATTGTAATAATATTACACCTCTGGTTTCCTCTTATAGTCCAAAGACATACTAGTGGGTTAATTGGCTACTGGGAAAACTGGCCCTGGTGTGAGTGTCTGTGCCCTGCGGTGGACGGACGTCCCATCCAGGATGTACCTTTCCCAGTTGTCCCTTACTTGCCGCAATGGGCTCCAGCTTCCCTTCAACTCTGAATTGGAAAAAGCAGTTAGAAAATGTATGGATAATATAAGAATAACACCTTACATTTGTACACGTACCATCCCAAATTATACATACAGTATACAAGGTGACCCACTTCACCTAAAACTGAAGTAACCACCTTCCACCTGGGTGACATACAGTATGGCAGCCATTCTGCACAAGAAACCAAACTGCACAGCAAACAACAGTAGGTGGTAAAGAGAAATAACTTAACACACTGAAATTTAAATACAGTAGGTCAAACTGTTAAAGCCCAGAATGAAATATAACCAGGACACCAGGTTTAATAATACCAAGGGATCTTTAATCAATTTTTCTCGATAAATATAAATATACGTTTAATTTCTCTATAAATAAACTTTGAAAAATGTTTTCAGAAACCATAGGGAACCATAAGCTTGAGTGCAAGGTTTATTGTTTGTGAAGGGTATTCTTTGTAATTTTGTGGTGGTTGATACAGTATATAAGTTTTAAACAGATTAAAACTGAGTGCAGCGGTGAACCTTTTGTAAGAAAAAAGTAGGGAAAATACAACCAGATGTTCTAGCAGTTGTACAGTGTAGATTGTACTCTACAGATCCCATAAATTATACAGTGAATTAACATAGTATAGCACTTTGTAATTCCCATTTTCAAAATACAAATGTCAGAATGAATCAAATATATCCAATCGCAAGAGTAAGAACAAGGCTGGAACACTGGATGTACAATATGTGGATTTCCAGGGTTGTGATACCATGCTGACTACTGAATATTCATGTTGTTATTTGAACAACATTGTTAATATTTAAGGATGCCTGATATCTGCAGAGCACCCACTGTTGTTTATTTAGCTGGTGTGGTCTAGTATCTAGTCTGCCTTTTATGATACTAGTTAACCCGTAGGGAAATAGACAAAGAATTTAAGACTTCTAGGTTGCATAACCCCTCCTCTGTGTGCTGAAAACAACACCATGAAAGTGGCCTTGCTGAGATAAATGAAACAGTGCTGTTGGAATGGCTTGAGTGTGTATCTAATCACAGGGTTAAAGAATTTTCTTTTGCCCCGTTGTGCATCTGTGTTCTCAGTCTTGGCAATGTGACCAGTGAAAAACAGTTCAAAGAGTTAAAGCCTAGTCCTACATCACAGTTGTTATTGTGTGAAATTACAGTACATTAAAGTATTCATGATTTTTGCATTTTTATACTCTAACAAAATTAATCAATCTTTGTTCTGAACCTGTTTATTAGGATGCAGTTAAACATTTTTGTTCAATATCATCCTATTTGTTTATAGAAAGGTCAGGAGTATCACTGTGTTACAATAAGCTGTTCTCCCTGGTTTATATTGCAGTGAAACATTTTCTGTCTTAATAATAAAGCATGTACTGTAAGTAAGTTTCTAGTTCCAAACAAAGTCTAACAAATGGATAACTTAAATACTCATTCTCAGATTGCTTGTGCGAAATGAACTGCAAAATGTCTCACACTTCTAAATGGTCATGCACAAAAAGTGATTCTTTTCAGTTTCCAAAACATGTTTTTTAAATTTCAGATGATAAAAAAGAAAGGTTTTTGCAATTGTAACATCTAATACACTATTTGTTTGTGTTTGTCAGTGAATTAAATAATGTTTACGAAACATTTATAGTTTTCTTATTTTTAGGGTACCACTGAGTGAGATGCATTGTTGTTTGCAATGTTTGACATAGTACTTGAGAAAAATCTTAGTTTCCAAAATAATTACAGTGTTAATTCAGTATGCACACCGATAGCTCTGATTAGTAGACACAATTTATAGTTACTACACTTACATTATTTTAAAATGATTTGTGATGGATTAATATATTTTACTCCTTTATTTTCTAGACAAAGGTATAGGTGACTCTCGGAGAAATGTGATTTGAAATTTACTAGCTCATGCCTATTTACAGATGTAATTGATCGTAGTCATGCTGTCTTTGTTGTAAATTCGGTAAGCCAGTGTGAACAAAATAAACCTGTTATATTGTAAAGAATATAAATATAAGCTTCTGCAATACTGCTCGATATCCTGTTCCAGGCTAATTCTGATTGAACAATAACTAGAAGCTATACATGATTAACGAGATATCCTGTGCATTAATCTTTCTAAACAAATAACTAAACGTAGATGTATACTCTTTATTAATGAATTAAAAAAAAAACAGAAGCCTGTAAAGGTTAAAGAAAACAGTAGTATCTTGGTGAACAAACAGCTTGCGTTATATACAACAAGACAAGAGTAACTGTGCTCTCATGAAGAGATTTCAACAATGCTCATTTATTCACCTATCTCTTTCACAGGCTGCTATACTCACTAAGCAAGGACGTCGTCCACGAAAAGGATTCTGAATCCCTCCTCTGCTGACATCAGACAGGAACATGCCGTCTGAAATCTGTCTTAGGTACTGTAGCATGGACCTGCATGAGTGATGTAATCCTCATTCATCTTGTATCTAATTAAACCATTAGTCAAGCAGGCAGTGAGATAGGAGGTGGAAGGTTTTGCTGCAAATAGATCTCCCTTCTGTGACCCTGAATGGTAAAGATGCATTGTAGGATTTGCTGCACTGCACATAAGTAGATGTAGGAGGTAACAGTAAGTTATTTGCCTTTTTGGTTATTTATCTGCAAATCTGTTGTTTTCCAGATTACTTATGTTTGAAGCTGATCATATTTTTTTTCGGTAATAAGGTAGTGTAATTGAAGGTGTGGTTTTGAATGCAATGTAATGTTAGAATTTTGTTATTATTTCATTATGTGAATACATTTTTTCTCTTTGTTCCCCTGTGTGCAGTGGCTGTTTTGTGCAGTACCTTTGTGTTGTGAGCGATTAGATCAGTTTTACAGTACAATCTGCTCAGATGGAAATATGCAGGCCATGTTGCAGAATGAGCTGCTACAAAATGCATTTCACCTGACCTGGAGACAATTATGTCACATAAAATAAAAAAGCAGCTGTGCTTAAAAAGAACATGTAACTTCAGAGGACTTGTATCTCGTTTTTTGGAAACTAATTATATAAAAATCTGTGTTGTCAGGTTCTGAACAGGCACGGTAAGCCAACAGAATGTAATACTGGCTTAAATCTTTAATCTTACATTTGTTAAAAGTTTGAATATCTTTTACGTTGTTGTAGTTCACATAAAACTGAATGGCAAGAAAAAAAGAAAAAAAGATATCTGAATACAATATACTATGCTGAGAAAAAGTTTGTGAATCCCCTAGGTTGGTCCATTTTCTCTTATATGTTTAAAATGTACGGGTTTATAGATCACAAAGGCATAAAATGAATTTGAAATACAGTATTAAATCAGTTCAACAGTAATCATCCTCATTACTGTATCTAGGTATGTGAATCCTTAGATTCAGGAACTGGTGGTACGTGTTTGAGCAGCAATGCTTTCAATTAGATATTTCCTGTAACTGTTTACAAGTCTCTCGCATTGTTGTTTAGACACTTTGACCCATTTTTCTTTCCTTAATTAATTCCAGAATCAATTCATGTCAGTGCTTTTTAAGGGTTTCCTTACATGAGCAGCTCACATCCGTTCCTGCCATAACATTCCAAAGGATATTTATTATGTCCAGACATTGCCTTGGCCAATCCAAAATACAGAATTTCTTCAGACATTTTTTTGTAGATCTGGTTGTATGTTTAGGATTAATGTCTTGCTGCATGACCTACTTTCGGCTCAGCTAAAGTTGACAAATAAATGGCCTGACATTCTCCTTCAGAATTTGCTGATAAAAGACTGAATTCATAGTTCTGTCATTGATGACAAGCCATTCGGGTCCTGAGGCAGCAAAGCAGCTCCAAACCATACAATACCTATCACTGTGCTTGATGTTCAGGATGATTTTCTTCTGTTGGAAGACAGTGATTAGGTTTTGCCATACAGTGTTTCTCATTATGGCCAAAATGTTCAACTTTTGATGCACCTGTCCAGAAAAAACATTCTCCCAGTGTTCCTGTGGATCATCCAGGTGCTTGTTGATGAGGTTGAGACAGGCAGGAATGTCCTTTTTAGAGAGTAATGATTTCTTTCTGGCTATCCTCCAATGAAAACCATTCCTTTCAGACATTTCCTGATGACTGAGGCACGGGCACTGACATTGGCTGCTGAGAGAGAAGCTTGCAGATCATTAGAAGTTATTTTATATTTCTTAATGACTTCCTGATTTTTTTTCTGTGTTGCTCTTCAAGACATTGACAGGACAACTAGCCCTGCATAGAGCCACTGTGGTCTTGACTATTTTCCCTTTCTGTTTGTAGAGTTTTTGACAATGAATGGATGAAGGCCAAAATTTTTATAAATGGTTTTGCAAGTCTCTCCAGACTGATGAGCATCAATTACTCTTTTTTCAAAGGTCCTCTGATATCTCTTTGGATTGTGGCATGATGTATTTCCACTGATCTGCATGGTTGAGAATTAAACTCACAAAACTTTTGACGATTATATTGGACAGAGCTGGCCAAACCCAGTCCTTTTTTAGGTGTTCAACACCTGAAGAAGGCTCCACGGCCGAAACGTTGTGTTTTCTTTCTTCTCTTATCGGCATGGAATAAACTTATTACTTGTTCCGTTGCAGCCTACGCAGCTATTCACCTGAACTTATTATTTCATATATACTGATTCTTAATTATTATTTTTTCTAATTCATTAACAATTGAATTTCAAGAAACATTGAATTGGTAAACAGAATAAACCTTTCTGGTTATCAAAGAAAAGGATATCTTTTCTCTTGTGCTAAAATTTTGTAATTCCCATAATTACACTGGTGGTTGACAATCATTTTCTCAGCATCTTATATAACATGAAATCTCCTGGTGTGTAATAATTGGAGTAATTATGAGTAATTATTTGAAGTAATAATTAAATAGGAAATTATGAACAATTTTGACTATATATTAAAAGACGTCTGTCTGTACATAGCTATAGTATAAAGATACATTTATTTTAGGGCCTTATACTTATATTCTTCGTAATTCTTCAAAAAATTGTAAAAATGCTACTTTTTCTCAATACTTGTATTAAACGCAGATTGTCTTCCACGAGAGGATTTGTTCATTCAGCATGAATGGGTTTGGAAAGAATGTCCAATGCAGCAGACAAAACTGCTGTTTCAGTCCTCAGTATGCCCATTCTCTTTTCACCTTAGTTAGGAGGATTTAGCTGTGATACATGTAGTGTGGAGATTTCCATAGCTTCGTTCTTAATCTGGCATGTGGGTTGTCAGAGCCAGGTGGTCTGTAAATATGGGAAGAATGGACACATCAGAGACAGAAGCCAGGGGGTTACATAGTATTTTAACCTGTCGTCAGTGAGATACACATTTTTGCTACCTTCCTTATTTCATCTTGTAGCTTCACCTATTTAAAATGCTCTTTAAGTAAACCTTTCTTTCTTTCTCTTTTCATCCAGCATTCAAGAGATGCTGACAGGTCAAAGGCTATGTCTATCCAAGTCTCACCAGGATGCAGTTCTCGCTGCCCTGAACCAGCAGAGAAATGATGGAATACTGTGTGATGTCACTTTGGTTGCCGGGGAACAGAAATTTCATGCCCACAGGGCAGTTCTCGCTGCCTGCAGTGACTATTTCAGAGTAAGTCTGCGGGCTTCCTTCACTCTCCAGATGAGATGCGTAGGGGTACAGTAAATATATTTATTTTAATGTCAGTGAAGTGACCTTTTGTTTGGACCTCAGTGGTGATCAGTTCTTACCAGTCTCCAATCACATAACTGTATACTGTACTATTATGTCACTATTAACCTGGAACTAGCTTAGTAAACCCGAGAACATGGTTGGTTCTCTTTTTATCATTGTTTAACCTGTTCAGTGATTTTTGGCTTTCCTCCTTGAACCTGTTTCTTGACGGCACTAGGGGCCAAAGATTATTTTTACTCAGGTTTGCTGTCAGAAGTAGACATTTTTAATTCCTGTGGCAGGAATCCTGAAGCTGTTGAAAGCTTAAGGGTGTTTTGCTTTTATTTTACTTGTAAAGGCTGATTATTGTACAAGCACGTGCTCTTTTTGTCGTCTGCCTGTGCCCACCTTGAGCAGGTGCGCAGGTGGCTTCAGACCAGAGTGGAATGAGAACGGGGTGACCGAGGGCTGCTGTTATAGGAAGTGTCACCATTGCACAGGTGTGGCATCCCCAGAGTTTGCCTGTGCCCCAGAATCTTGACACTTCAACTGGGTAGCTGTTTCAGCATGTGCAGGAACAAGTAAAGGTTTATTCCATGCTGAAAAGAAATGAAAAGAGACTTCTGTGGAGCCTTCTTTGGGTGTGAGGGAGAGAGGAAAACTGGCAGTTGATAAAGCATGGGAGAACAAAAGATGGGAGTGGAGAGGAAGCAGGAGCAGGAAAGAAGTAGTATCGACACTCAGGTGATGTGAAGTCAAGGCAGGTGAAGAGAGGTGGGAAGTCAAAACCTGCAAATGAATACAGAGGATTACATGGAAATGTTGTTGAGAGAAGGGGAAAGGTGTGATCCTAGTTTAAGGATAATTTAGATTTCGGATGTTTTTCTGCACTAGGAGTTCCGAAACCCCTCAGTGAGAATGCAGACAGAGAGATCAGCATGATCATGGCCATTAGAGGTGAAATTGGAAACTGTGGGTTTGGAAGATAGGTTTGGAAATCATGACACTGCCAGACTTTACTGGTGGCAGAAATGGAGGAAAATGGGTGGGATGACTTCCAGGAGTCTGGAAAGTATGAATGAATACATGAATGGGATTTGGTTGTTTATGCAGATTCCTTTATGTACTAAACAAGGCAATGTGAAGAAACAAGAAGAAAGCAAATAGCTGTAAATGCCTGGGCTTATAGCAAAACATGTGGAGTTTAAATCCAGGAAAACTTAACAATGCCTTAGTAAGAACTCGATTAAAATATTTTGTTTAGTTTTGGTCACCATACTACAAAAATGATATTGTAACCTTAGAAAGAGCTCAAAGAGGAGCAACAAGAACAATTCCTGGTCTCAGGTCTCAGGTCTCAGGTAAGGGAACTAAACCTCCTCAGTTTTAAATGAAAAAGACTGAGAGGAGATTTTGCCCAGATATATGAAATCCTAAGGCACATACAGTAAATAGGGTCCACCTTGGGGACTATTTCACGCTCATAATTGAGAACTAAAAAGGAATTGTTTAGGACAATCAGAAATAGTTGTTTAAGCAAAGAGTTAGGGCTGTCTTGACCAGACATTCCAGCTAGTTGGTATTAAGGATGCAAAGTGTGGATGTCAGGAAACAACTGATCAGAATTTTAGACACACTTAAATACTAAACTCTGCAAATACTTATGCTGTGTAATGATCGTTAGGACTTCTGCAAACTTTCATTCAAAAAGGTTCATATTCAAGACTATTAAACAGGTAAAAATGATGGTTAAGTCTCTAAAGATAGAGGCATTAATGTATTTAAAGCTACAGTGTCTTCAGAGAAATAATGTGAATCAATGAGAATGCTTGCTTCTACTTAAGTGTAACTGACAAGAATCACATCTGTCTGCCTTCTTACATAAAAGCGTTCTTTCCGGACCCTATGCAGACAACACAATCCGGGGATGAGTGAGGAAAATAATGGGAAAAAGGCATGCAGGAGTCAGAATGAAAACGGGGGGAGTGTCCATGGTGCACAGGTGTTCAGGGGGGTGAGTCCGAGGCAAACAATCCAAAACAGTGTTCAATGTGAAATCCAAGAGGAGGCAAAAAGTCCAAAGCCGGGCGGTCCATCCTAGACGAAGACAAACAGGATTAAAAACCAGAGCGGGATCCGGTAGAGGGTCGGGGGGAAAAGGGGGGGAACAGGACCGGACGCTCCAGATCCCGGACTCGCTTGGTACGGGAACCAATGCAGAGCCCGGAACAGAGTGGGCGTCTGGCTCTTATAGGGAGGCAGGAACAGGGAGCAGGTGCATGAAATCAACACGGAAGTGAAAAGGCCGGAGCGCCCTTAAGGGGGAGGGACTACAATCATGACAACAATTACAATATCCACACGTTTACTGTACACTGCACACATTACCATGACACTGCCTGCTCTCATAGTGCATATTCACCGCCAGATTCTTTCCATACAAGACAATATGACTTAATAAACTGCTTTAAAATTCTATTTTGCTGTAGTAAACTGTTATTTGTAAATGGTATAAGACATTTCTGCTACTGTATGTCTTTATTTGTCATTTATCAGCTAAATGTTTTTGTAAAATCATCCATACTGATTGTTTGGGTGCTGTGGGCTGGTCTTGCTACTGCTGTGCAGAATATTTCCATTTTAGCCAAAAACGGTGTGTTTTTAATTTTTTTCAGAAGTACTGATTAACACAAAAAAGTGAACATGAGATTTTCGCATGTCTAGCAGAACTGTGGCCGCTGGAATGTACTAATTGATCCATGTTATTAAGCGCAGGCTAAACTGTAGGGATTATGAATAAATTATTTCTGTCACAAATCTTTTGCTAAAATATAGGCTGTGCCATTAGTCTTCTAATTCATCATGTGCTGTTTGGCCCTTAGTAGAAATGAAGATGAAATACAGTAGCAGCTCCTGGCAATTTGAACTGTTGAACAATCTGAAAAGTCCATATGACACCATACAGGATAGAGTATTTCATTAAAAGGTTAAAATACAATAAAAGTACCATCTTTTCATTTTATCACTTCTTTTTCAAAATCATATTTATTGAAGCATTAGGCATGTGTCACAATGCAGTGCCTGAAACTCCGAAAGTTTGACATGATCCTTGGTGCTGTGATAATTTAATACCGGAGGCAGATTCCCATGAACAATCATACCATCTCTGACCTTCATCACAATATGGAAACATGACTTGGAGTGCCAGATCTTTGCTTTTTGCATACAGCATGCACAGTATACTGTATAAGTACAGTTCAAAACAAGTATACTACCACCCTATATGCAAATTATTTGTATTCGGTAAATTATTGTATTTCTTTCTTTCTTTTATTTCTCTTATAGTATAACAGTTTAAAATCCTTTAAAGCATCTTTGTAAGTCGTGTTTAAAACTATTGAATTACTTGGTTTAAAGTACTATACAAGGTGCACTTCTCTAATATTTGCTATGGGCCATATTAGCTCATTGTTTCCTTATTTGCAGCCTTGATTTCTGCAAATCGTTTTCTCAGAACTTAATGACAGACAGGGTGCTGATGGACATTAAATCCTCATCCTTTCTCCTCATACTGGTCTTCGTCTGATGCAGTATTGTAATTCATTTCTAAACTATCCCACGTTTCCTGCTAAATCTAGCTCGCCACAGAAGAATGTTGGAAGAGCTTAGTAAATCTGCAGCTCTAGAGTTTTCTGCTGTTATGTCCCTGAGGTCCAAAACATCCTTCCTGGTAGGGGCGTGTCATTTAAGCCCTAGATTTAAGTTAACTGTTCAAAAACTCTTGTATAAATTTGTTGATCCTGCTATATTATCATTATAAAAACACTCAGGGATGCTACTGTATGTGTGAGGAGCATTGTGTTACATTTTATTTTAAGGCTCTTCTGAAAGCCAGAATGTTTTTATAAAATACACGAAACATAAAATGCTCATTGTGTGGGGGTCCTGAACTGTCACGATCGTAATCCCTCCTCTTAAGGGCGCTCCGGCTCTTTCACTTTGTTGTTGATTTTGTGCACCTGCCTCCTATCTTTCCCCTCCTTATTTGAGCCAGACGCTCTTACTATTCTGGGCTCAGCAGTGGAAGATGGACACCCGGAAGCCCGCCTAGCAGCGGGGCCTGGAGTGACCCGACGGCATAGGCTTCACCACGGCGTCCTGACCATCTGGGTCCGGGGCTCGGAGTGCCTGGCCCTGTTAACCCATTTTTATTCCCTGTCTCTGCACCGGATCCCGTTCTGGTTTTTAAACTGTCACGATTATAGTCCCCCCTCCTTAAGGGTGCTCCAGCCCTTTCACTTTAGATTTAATTCTGTGCACCTGATCCCTATTCCCAGCCCACCTTAAAAGCCAGGCGCTGACGCTCATCCTGGCTCTGCATCTGGTTTCCGCACCATGCGAGTCCGGGACCTGAAGCGCCTGGTTCCGTAAAGGGTTTAACCTCTGTTCCTGTTCCTGTTCCTGTTCCTGTTCCGCCGGTTCCGACCCGGTTCATGGTTTTTAATTCCTTGTTTTGATGGATCTCCTGGCTTTGGACTTACTCTTGTGTTTTTTGATACCCTCTAAGGATTACTCTCTTGGATTGTTTGCCTCGGCCACACCTCCCCCGTGCACCAGCGCACTTTGGACACGCCCCCCTGTTTTCAGCCCCGTATTCCTGCATGACGTTTTCCCAGTGTTTCCCCACTTCTTCGGATTGTGTCGTCCGCATAGGGTCTGGAAAGAACTGTTCGTTACATAAAGCTTGTCTTGTCTTGTCTCGTTTGGATTACCTGGCTCTGGACTACACCCTGGATTTCCCTTTGGACTCCCTTGGACTTGTACACCTGGGCCACGTCCCTCCCGGGCACCAGTGCTCAGTCGTCACGCCCCCCTGTTAGTCAACCTTCCCAGTTCCTAGTCATCTCCTCCCCGTGTCCGTTTCACTACTTCCGGATTATACATCTGCATACAGTAGG